TAGCACTATGTAGGGGTGCTCTACAAGAGATATAATAAGGTAAAGATTGAACATACCTAATACGGAGGAGCCTATAATCTAAATATGGAATATAAAGAATAATATATATATATATATATATATATTTCATATATTAACATCCCCCCTCAAACTCAAGGTGGCAAGGTAGAAAGCAACTTGAGTTTGGAAACCAAATCTTGGAAACGTCCCGGTGGATGGGTCTTGGTGAAGATGTCAGCAATCTGATCAACAGTGGAAATAGGAAGAAGATGAATAGTGCCTTGAGTAACATGTTGACGAACAAAATGACAATCAATCTCAATGTGTTTGGTGCGATCATGGAAAACATCATTGAGATTGATTGTCATTTTGTTATCCAAATTGATCATGCACCGGTGGATGGAATTTTGTTATCCATGATCGCACCAAACACATTGAGATTGATTGTCATTTTGTTCGTCAACATGTTACTCAAGGCACTATTCATCTTCTTCCTATTTCCACTGTTGATCAGATTGCTGACATCTTCACCAAGACCCATCCACCGGGACGTTTCCAAGATTTGGTTTCCAAACTCAAGTTGCTTTCTACCTTGCCACCTTGAGTTTGAGGGGGGATGTTAATATATGAAATATATATATATATATATATATATTATTCTTTATATTCCATATTTAGATTATAGGCTCCTCCCTATTAGGTATATTCAAATCTTGCCTTTTTCTTCCCCTACCTTATTCTTTCCTTACCTTATTCTCTCCCTACCTTATTCTTTCCCTTTCCTTTGTGCAACACTCCTACATAGTCCTATATATATACCCATAGCTTCGTACTGTAAAATCATTAATTCAATACAATACATATTATTTTTTTTCTCTACTATTCTAACATGGTATCAGAGCTTAGAGTCAAAATCCTTGATCCTCTTAATTTCGGCAGTCCACAAATATTGCTCCATCCCCTACACCCAGTTTAGCAACACCACGTCTCCATTCTTCTCACCTTGTTATTTCTTTTTTATTGCTTTCTATGGATCGTTCTGATATGGCCCAACCAATTTCCATCATTCTTGATGGTTCTAATTACACCGTTTGGGCTCAAGCCATGTCTAGTTTTCTCAAAAAGAAGTTGTGGCGTCTTGTTACTGGTGATACTGTCAAACCTGTCAAAAATACTGATGAACTTGCCTCTAAATATGAAGAACGACTTGATGATTGGGATAGTAAAAACCATCAAGCCATCACATGGTGCCGTAATACTTCCATTGTCTCCATTAATCTTCAATTTGGGCGCTTTAACACAGCAAAGGAAATCTGGGATTTTCTAAAGACTCGTTATAGCACCACTCCTCTTGCTTACCAATATCAACTTCTTAGCCAACTGCAACACATGCAACAAGAGTCCGGTCAATCTATCAATGTTTTTCTGTCCCAGATGTATGCTGTTTGGGATCAACTGTCTTTGTTTGAACCTAAATGGAACTGCAAGGAAGATGCTAGTCAGTTCTCTACATATCGAGATGAACAACGCTTGATATCCTTTCTGATGGCCCTTCGGGATGATTTTGAACTTGTTCGAGCTTCTCTTCTCCATCGTCATCCGCTTCCAACCTTAGAACATGCCATCTCCGATCTCCTTTTTGAAGAAACTCCTCTTGGCTCTCTCAAAACTCCACAGACTCACAATGTTCTTGCTATTTCTCATCAGCCTGGCAAATCATCCGTTGCACAATCATGTACTTATTGCCATAACTCCAATCATAGTTTACTTACATGTCCAATCCGGATTTGTAAGTGGTGCAACAAAACTGGTCCTGGCCACTATCAGAGTGACTGTTTCAAAAATCCCAATCGCCAACCTCATGACAGTCGTTCTAAAGGAGGTCAATCTCGATCCCATTACTGCTATCGGCCCGCTGCCCATTCTCATTCTGCTGCTGTTACTACTGCCACATCTTCCTCTGATGTTGCTCCTCTTGTGCACAACCAAACCTTCACACTTCATGACATTGAATCCATAGTCAAACAAGTTTTCTCTACTTCTGGTACACCCTCTACTGCTCTGTCAGTCACCTCAGGTACCTCCTCATGGTTCTTTTATTCTGCTTGTTGCAATCATATGACATCGGATTCTACTATTTTCTCTTCTACTATGTCTGCATCTAATATTCCTACCATTTATACTGCTGATGGCTCTCCCATGCCTGTTAACCATATAGGCCATGTCTCTACTTCTACTGTTTCCCTTCCTAGCACTTATTTAATTCCGCATCTTACTCTCAATCTAATCTCTATTGGGCAACTTTGTGATGTTGGTCTTACTGTTCTTTTCTCTTCCTCTGGTTGTGTTGTGCAGAACCCCCGGACAGGCCAGACTCTTGGGATCGGCCATAAAAATGAACGTTTATACGAGCTCATTCATCTTCACATTCCATCTCAACTTTCTTATTCTACAGTCGCCGCCTCCACTAGTTGTACTCTCGATCTTTGGCATTCCCGTCTCGGCCATGTGTCATTCAGTCGTTTACGTAGTTTAGTGTCAAGTGGTCAGTTAGGTCATGTTACAAATAATTCAGTGGATTGTTTATCTTGTCAACTTGCCAAACAACCATCTTTACCATTTAATAAAAGTGATTCTATGTCCCATGCACCTTTTGATCTCATACATTCTGATGTTTGGGGGCCTTCACCACATCCTACCATGGGGGGATCTAGGTATTTTGTAATTTTTGTGGATGATTTTACTCGCTTTACATGGTTATTTCTAATGAAAAATAGTTTTGAATTACAACAATATTACTATGATTTTGCTAATATGGTCAAGACACAATTTTCTCGCACCATCAAAATTTTTCGTGCCGACAATGCCCAAGAATATAAAGAAACTAATTTTTTAAAATTTCTCCGTCAACATGGTACACTCCCTCACTCTTCTTGTCCCGGCACATCTCAGCAGAATGGTCGTGCTGAGCGTAAACATCATTACCTTCTTGACACTGTTCGTACTCTTTTAATATCTGCCTCTTGTCCAGAGCGTTTTTGGGGAGAAGCAGTCCTCACTGCTGCTTACACTATTAATCGTGTTCCATCTCCCATCATCAACAATCAAACTCCATATGAGTGTCTCTATGGTAAGTCCCCGGCTTATAATCATCTTTGTGTTTTTGGTTATGCATGTTTTGTCCTATTACAGCCCCATGAACGTAACAAATTAGAACCTCGGGCTCGTCTTTGTTGCTTCTTGGGATATGGCATTGAACACAAAGGTTATCGTTGCTGGGATCCCATCTCTAAACGTCTTCGTGTCTCTAGACATGTGGTCTTTTGGGAACATAAAATGTTCTCTTCCATGTCTCCATTCCACAACTCTGATTCTCCCACTACACCTTTCTTTACTAATCCTTCTATTCCTCTATTTTCTGACAATGAGCTTGATACAGATGCTACTAATGAGCTTACCACCGGTCCACTCCCCTCTACAGAGTCTGGCTCTGCTGATGGTCCTACATCTCCATCTCCTATTCCTAGTCCTCCTGCTTCCCTTGAAGTCCCTACCTCTACTGATCCTCCAGAACTTCCCGCTGAATCTTCTGTGCTTCCTACTATATCTCTTCGTCAATCTACTCGGGTAAAAGAACCTTCTGTCTTGCTTCGTGACTATCATTGTTATTCTACTATTTTCTTTCAACATGAACCAAACTCTTATCGTGAGGCTAGTACTAATCCCCTTTGGCAGCAAGCAATGACAGAAGAGTTACAAGCCTTGGACCGAACTGGTACATAGGAGTTGGTTGACCTTCCTTCTAATAAGCCTCTGGTTGGTTGTAAATGGGTCTACAAGATTAAGACACACTCAGATGGGACCGTCGAACATTATAAAGCCCGTCTGGTTGCTAAGGGCTTTACACAAGAATATGGAATTGACTATGAAGAAACCTTTGCACCTGTGGCTCGTCTCACCTCTGTTCGAAGTTTAATTGTTGTTGCTGCCATTCAAAAATGGACATTATTTCAGATGGATGTCAAAAATGCATTCTTGAATGGTGATCTTCAAGAAGAAGTATATATGCAACCACCTCCTGGATATCCTCACTCATCTAATCAGGTCTGTAAACTTCGAAAGGCACTCTATAGACTCAAACAAGCTCCTCGCGCATGGTTTTCAAAGTTTAGTTCCACCATCCAGGTCTTTGGTTTCTCTTCCAGCTCTTATGATTCTGCTCTCTTTATCCGCAAATCTCAACATGGCATTACCGACCTCAGCATGTGGATGGCTCTTTTACATCTGATTCTTCACCCCTTCAGATGTCATCAACCTTACAAAGTCAGCTTCTTGTTAGCGAACCTTATCTAAATAAGATCTGTTCAGTTCAGTCATATCCTGGTACGAGTTCTATTAGCCAATCATTTTTGTTTTCTATCTTTGATTCTTAATGAATGTCTATAGCCTGATGATCTAGTCTGTTAGTGCTGTGGATTTTCTAGATCATTCCTCACTTTCACAAGGCAAAAGTACCTCTCCACCACAGCTGCATGGGGAAATGATACAACAAACTTCAAAATTTCCATCTTTTTCTCCTCCTGTGGAAAACTATCCTCCCTCTCAAACTCCAATGCAAAACCAGCATTATGATTTTGTCACACCACCAAACTCTTGGTCCTGCCACCGCCACCACCGTTGCTGCCATTTGTTAACAATTCAACTGTAACTGCAGCAACTGCCATGCAAGGTGTTCCTTCATTACAATCTCACCAGAATCAGCAGCCTCCAAGGAATGACTTCATTTCGCAGACTTTTGTGAGGCACTACGCGCCTGAATTACTTGCTCATTCTCAGGTTGGTGAGTTTCAGTATCGCAGATACTCTCTAATGCAGGAGTACGAGCAGGAGCCTGCTCGACCTTTATCGCATATGGAAGATTTCAAACGGAATTCTTTACCTATGGGCAACCCAACGAGTCAACCATTTGGAGATACAGGTCTTGCTGGAGATCACTTCTCACGGTTCCCGCTACAAGGTTTAAACCCTCTAAATTCATTTGCTTAGGGAAACATACCCCTTCCACCTGTGTCTTCTCTGAGGGATTCAGCAAGAAGGAGAATGCAGTCTTTCTCGGGTGATGACCTGCCTCCAGTTGAATTTTCTACCTCGTCTTCTCACTTGCAGCAGCAAAGGCCACTCTATGGTCTGCAGCGGTCTGCAGCTGATGGAATTTCTGTAAATCAGGGTGAATTTGGGAATGTTAATTTTACCATGTCAAGATATACATCGGATATTCTTGACAGGAACCAGCCATCTTATCTTTCTGATTTTGGAGGGTCAAGAATTTCAAACTACTACAATCCTTATGCATCCACTTTTGATCAGCCACTAAGTTCAAAATCCAGCTCTAATGTTTTTAAGCAAGAAAAGGATTTGCCCTACAGTAATCTACACGATGCTTCTTTAAGTTTGAGCCATGTTCCAGTTTATGGACAAGGTATTGGAAGTCTTGGCTCAAGGCATATGACTTCCTTGCCAAAATCTGCCCAGGCTACTAATTTACCTAGGCCAGGCAGTGACCAGTATGATCTACTTTTTGACAGCATTGAGCCATCTTCAAACTCATTCAATAAATTTGATCATGGTCAGAGGCGTGAAACCACATTGAGACTCAGTGGTTCTCATAAGCCATTAGATGTGGAAGAAAACAACAAGCAGAAAGAAGTTGTTGGAAATCATGGTAACAGGGTCATTTTTTATGATTACCGCGAAGCATACTTCTGGCATCGGCAGAATACTCCTCCAGATGTTAAGGTGATGTCTTGGTGGGATTATGGGTACCAGATCACTGCCATAGGAAACAGAACTGTGATTGTAGACAACAACACCTGGAACAATACACACATTGCTACTGTTCTTTTTGACAGCATTGAGCCATCTTCAAACTCATTCAATAAATTTGATCATGGTCAGAGGCGTGAAACCACATTGAGACTCAGTGGTTCTCATAAGCCATTAGATGTGGAAGAAAACAACAAGCAGAAAGAAGTTGAAGCTGTTGCTGTATCCACGTCTATAAAAAGTGAAAATGATGAATATGGTGAGACGGCTAATGCAGAAGTGGGTGATGTGGATAATGCGAGTGCAAGCAGCCCACTTGATGAAGCAAATACAACTGGGGGAGAGATTGAGATTGATCAGGTTAAGATGCCAGGGAAGAGCAAGAAGAGTAAAGATTTAAGATCAATGAAACTTTTCAAAGTAGCCCTTACAGATTTTGTGAAAGAGGTGCTAAAACCATCCTGGCGACAGGGTAATATGAGCAAGGAAGCATTTAAGACAATTGTCAAGAAGACTGTTGACAAGGTGTCTGGAGCTATGAAGAGCCACCATATACCCAAGTCTCAGGCAAAGATAAATCGATACATTGACTCATCTCAGCGGAAACTGACTAAACTTGTGACGGGCTATGTTCAGAAGTATGCTAAAGGATAAAAGTTTGCGCCTGCTGTGGTTTCAACCCATGATGGAAGAAAATTTTGATTCAACCTGTTTGTCCGGTCTCCTAAAATTTGAAGGCCCATTTTAAGGTGGAGAGGTTGTTAGACATGAAGACTGCTTTTATTTCAGGTGACTTCATTGGTTCCTTCGAGAGAAAACTCTCTTTTGGCATTTTTCCAGCTAATTTATACACTCCTGTTGTCATGATGCTGTTCTGCCCCATTCAAGACTATGGAAAAGAGAATCTGCAGTTGGTCTTGTGAGGTAATGTGAGGATGTGCTGTGATGTGTAAAGTTAGTTGCTGGTAGTACACTCATAATGTCATGGCACATTAGAAGATGAACTTAATGACAGGAGGATTGATTCCAACCTGAGCAAAAGTTCTGAGGAAGCTCCAAAACTTGTATGTAATGTGTTTTTTGAATTCGATTGATATATAAATATATATATATATATATTGTTTAACTGTTGGTTCTATCTATTTAGTAGGACAACATGCTTATAAAGTCTCCCAGCTTTACAATTGTTTCTTGGCTACATATAGGATTCGTTTTCATTATAGTCAGTAGTAACAAAATTCTTGACTTTAGATAGCTTGTTGAAAAATTGGATTGGAAATCATGGTAACAGGGTCATTTTTTATGATTACCGCGAAGCATACTTCTGGCATCGGCAGAATACTCCTCCAGATGCTAAGGTGATGTCTTGGTGGGATTATGGGTACCAGATCACTGCCATGGGAAACAGAACTGTGATTGTAGACAACAACACCTGGAACAATACACACATTGCTACTGTTGGACGGGCAATGTCATCTTCTGAAGACGAGCATACGAAATAATGAGATCACTGGATGTGGATTATGTTCTAGTTGTATTTGGAGGTGTTACTGGTTATTCTTCTGATGATATTAACAAATTTTTCTTCATCGATGCGAGAGCCGAGATATCCGTTGCCGAGAGTCGTTTAGCTCAAGAGGAGTAGAGACAGTTTTGCTGTCAGTGAGGCCAGCCTTTGCTAGAAGATCAGAAACATATTTGGCTTGAGAGAGATAATAGCCATCAGAGCTAGAAGAGAGCTCAAGCCCCAAGAAATATTTGAGAGTACCCAAATCCTTCATCTCAAAGTGTTCACTAAGAGACTTTTTGAGTGCAGAAATTCCATGAACATCATCACCAGTAAGAATGATATCGTCCACATAAAGAAGAAGAAGAGCAATGCCATGTTGAGATTTGCAGATAAAGAGAGCAGAATCATAAGAGCTGGAAGAGAAACCAAAGACCTGGATGGTGGAACTAAACTTTGAAAACCATGCGCGAGGAGCTTGTTTGAGTCCATAGAGTGCCTTTCGAAGTTTACAGACCTGATTAGATGAGTGAGGATATCCAGGAGGTGGTTGCATATAGACTTCTTCTTGAAGATCACCATTCAAGAATGCATTTTTGACATCCATCTGAAATAATGTCCATTTTTGAATGGTAGTAAGAGCAATTAAACTTCGAACAGAGGTGAGACGAGCCAGAGGTGCAAAGGTTTCTTCATAGTCAATTTCATATTCTTGTGTAAAGCCCTTAGCAACCAGACGGGCATTATAACGTTCGACGGTCCCATCTGAGTGTGTCTTAATCTTGTAGACCCATTTAAAACCAACCAGAGGCTTATTAGGAGGAAGGTCAACCAACTCCCATGTACCAGTTCGGTCCAAGGCTTGTAACTCTTCTGTCATTGCTTGCTGCCAAAGGGGATTAGTATTAGCCTCACGATAAGAGTGAGGTTCATGTTGAGAGAAAATAGTAGAATAACAATGATAGTCACGAAGCAAGACAGAAGGTTCTTTTACCCGAGTAGATTGATGAAGAGATGAAGTAGGAAACACAGAAGATTCAGTGGGAAGTTCTGGAGGATCAGTAGAGATAGGGACTTCAAGGGAAGCAGGAGGACTAGGAATAGGAGATGGAGATGCAGGATCATCAGAAGAGCCAGACTCTGTAGAGGGGAGTGGACCGGTGGTAAGCCCATTAGTAGCATCTATATCAAGCTCATTGTCAGAAAATAAAGGAATAGAAGGATTAGTAAAGAAAGGTGTAGTGGGAAAATCAGAGTTGTGGAATGGAGACATGGAAGAGAACATTTTATGTTCCCAAAAGACCACATGTCTAGAGACACGAAGACATTTAGAGATAGGATCCCAGCAACGATAACCTTTGTGTTCAATGCCATATCCCAAGAAGCAACAAAGACGAGCCCGAGGTTCTAATTTGTTACGTTCATGGGGCTGTAATAGGACAAAACATGCACAACCAAAAACACGAAGATGATTATAAGCTGAGGACTTACCATAGAGACACTCATATGGAGTTTAATTGTTGATGATGGGAGATGGAACACGATTAATAGTGTAAGCAGCAGTGAGGACTGCCTCTCCCCAAAAACGCTCTAGACAAGAGGCAGATATTAAAAGAGTACGAACAGTGTCAAGAAGGTGACGATGTTTACACTCAGCACGACCATTCTGTTGAGATGTGCCAGGACAAGAGGAGTGAGGGAGTGCACCATGTTGACGGAGAAATTTTAAAAAATTAGTTTCTTTATATTCTTGGGCATTGTCGGCACGAGAAATTTTGATGGTGCGAGAAAATTGTGTCTCGACCATATTAGCAAAATCATAGTAATATTGTTGTAATTCAGAACGATTTTTCATTAGAAATAACCATGTAAAGCGAGTAAAATCATCCACAAAAATTACAAAATACCTAGATCCCCCCATGGTAGGATGTGGTGAAGGCCCCCAAACATCAGAATGTATGAGATCAAAAGGTGCATGGGACATAGAATCACTTTTATTAAATGGTAAAGATGGTTGTTTGGCAAGTTGACAAGATAAACAATCCACTGAATTATTTGTAACATGACCTAACTGACCACTTGACACTAAACTACGTAAACGACTGAATGACACATGGCCGAGACGGGAATGCCAAAGATCGAGAGTACAACTAGTGGAGGCGGCGACTGTAGAATAAGAGAGTTGAGATGGAATGTGAAGATGAATGAGCTCGTATAAACGCCCATTTTTACGGCCGATCCCAAGAGTCTGGCCCGTCCGGGGGTCCTGCACAACACAACCAGAGGAAGAGAAAAGAACAGTAAGACCAAGATCACAAAGTTGCCCAATAGAGATTAGATTGAGAGTAAGATGAGGAATTAAATAAGTGCTAGGAAGGGAAACAGTAGAAGTAGAGACATGGCCTATATGGTTAACATGCATGGGAGAGCCATCAGCAGTATAAATGGTAGGAATATTAGATACAGACATAGCAGAAGAGAAAATAGTAGAATCCGATGCTACGAACAGGTTCAAAATCATCCCGAAGGGCCATCAAAAAGGATATCAAGCGTTGTTCATCTCGATATGTAGAGAACTGACTAGCATCTTCCTTGCAGTTCCATTTAGGTTCAGACAAAGACAGTTGATCCCAAACAGCATACATCTGGGACAGAAAAACATTGATAGATTGACCGGACTCTTGTCGCATGTGATGCAGTTGGCTAAGAAGTTGATATTGGTGAGCAAGAGCAGTGGTGCTATAACGAGTCTTTAGAAAATCCCAGATTTCCTTTGCTGTGTCAAAGTGCCCAAATTGAAGATTAATGGAGACAATGGAAGTATTACGGCACCATGTGATGACTTGATGGTTTTTACTATCCCAATCATCAAGTCGTTCTTCATATTTAGAGGCAAGTTCATCAGTATTTTTGACAGGTTTGACAGTATCACCAGTAACAAGACGCCACAACTTCTTCCCTTTGAGAAAACTAGACATGGCTTGAGCCCAAATGGTGTAATTAGAACCATCAAGAATGATGGAAATTGGTTGGGCCATATCAGAACGATCCATAGAAAGCAATAAAAAAGAAATAACAAGGTGAGAAGAATGGAGACGTGGTGTTGCTAAACTGGGTGTAGAGGATGGAGCAATATTTGTGGACTGCCGAAATTAAGAGGATCAAGGATTTTGACTCTAAGCTCTGATACCATGTTAGAATAGTAGAGAGAGAAAATAATATGTATTGTATTGAATTAATAATTTTACAGTACAAAGCTATGGGTATATATATAGGACTATGTAGGATACAAAGCTATGGTTATATATATAGGACTATGTAGGAGTGTTGTACAAAGGAAAGGGAAAGAATAAGGTAGGGAGAGAATAAGGTAAGGAAAGAATAAGGTAGGGGAAGAAAAAGGCAAGATTTGAATATACCTAATAGGGAGGAGCCTATAATCTAAATATGGAATACAATACAAAGAATAATATATACATATATAATATATTAATATATTTCATATATTAACAAACTCAAATTACTAAACATGTTTGCCAAATGATTGTCGGGCACATTCCACAATCTCACCCAAGGATTGAATGTCTGATACGATACTTCACATTCAGAAGAGTCCATGTAACATAACTCATCAGGTTGAGTTCAATAACTCTTTCAAACTAGTTAAACGAATGAGCATATGAAGAAAATGTAGATCGTGATCAAAGATAAAGACTCTTAAGTTTTTACTATGTAATAATGATAAAAAGTCAAGCCAAGTTTGGTAGGATCATGAGATTTTACCTCTTGCACTCTATTTCCTGATCAAGCAAGTAGCTTGTATTCATTCTCGAACATGGATTCCATACAAACCTGTCAAAAAATTGATTACCTGCAATTAAAATATGAGAGGAAAAGCAAAATATTTAAAATAGTAAAAAAAAAAAAAATTCCCTAATCTGAAAATGATATTTAAGTGCAAACATATTTTGACATAGATTACCATTCACTACAAGAAAATCAGGTTTTAGCAGCGTTTTTTATTGCAGCGGCCTAGAAAATGCTGCTATAGATGGGCTATTGTAGCGGTTATTAACCACAACTAAAAATTAAATTTTTAGTAACATTTTTTGCCTAAAACGCTGCAATATATTTTTTAATAATGACGGTTTGTACACAACCGTTACTAAAAAGCCAATCAAAATAGAGGCCCGCCAAATCGAACTCTGATTTCGCGCGAAATCAGATTTTTTTTTCGTGAGGAGTGGATAACATATCAGAATTTCAGTCCAAAAAAAAAAAAACCGTTCAACTCATCTAAAACTGTGCCCTAATCCAGCACCCCTGTTTGGCGAAGTATCAGAGTTCATCCTCCCCCGCGGCGACGTATCGGCGTTCATCCTTCCCCGCAGCATTCATCATCCTCCCACTGTGATTTCAAGGTCAGTTTGCTTTCTCTGTTTCTCTTTCTCTACCCCTTTCTTTCTTCTTGTCTCTCGGTTTATCTCTCTGCCATTCTCCCTTCTACTATCTCTGTTTATGTTTTTCCTATACTGTCTTCGGTAAGTTTGGGTCAATGAAATTCATTGTTAATCTAACGACTTGCCACTCCATTCAATGCTTCTAATATCTCCAAAACTTCTATACTTTGAAGGATTTCATGAACATCTTGAATGATTTTAATTTGGTTATCTCTCTGCCATTCTCCCTTTCTTCTACTATCTCTGTCTATGTTTTTCGTATACTGTCTTGGGTCAAGTTTGGGTCAATGAAATTCATTGTTAATCTAACGACTTGCCACTCCATTCAATGCTTCTAATATCTCTAAAACTTCTCTACTTTGAAGGATTTCATGAACATCTTGAATGATTTTAATTTGGAAAAATAATTTAGAAAATAGAAAAAAAAAAATTGTTGGTATTCAATATATGTATGTACTGACCCTGACCTGGATTTCCATGTGCCGAGTCACACATCAGAAATCTACAAGGGGCAATGAACCCAAAGGACATCCCTTGACTAGCCCCTTTGGGAAGCAATGAGCCCAGAAGACATCCCTTGACTATCTCTTTTGGGGAATTCCCATGGTTGTTGTTATATATCTATTAAATAGATGCGTATGATATTTGAGAACTTTTAAAAATAAAATGCTAACACTATATGTTGATAATCAGTTCATCTATAGTATGTTCAATGAAAATTTGAAGAAGATTGAGATTAACCAGTAATATGTTCAACAAAAATTCAAAGATTGAGATTAACGGGCCATAGAGATCAACCCAATCACTATAACACCTTGGCAGATTATCCCATTTAATTACCTCCATTAAGGAGAGTCAAGGGGAAAAATAAACCAAGAAAAAAGAAAAAGGAAATAAAATTAAGAATGATAAAAAAAAAGAATACTAAGGAGAATGCATCACCACTAAGTCAACTGCAACAGAGAGTTTGTAGAAACACTTAACATGGAATAACTTATTGCAGCCAAAACCACTGTTTTTCTCAAACAAAAAAAGTTACAATTTTGCACAAAGAGTTTTCTTTCTGGAACAACAATGGTGACATAAATGATACTCATGTACATATATCTCCTTATATTATTATTTGAGAAAGTGAACCCACTAGATGTTTCCATTAACATATAAATATAAAGTTCAGCTTTTGTTTTCTTGAGGTTGTGGATGTTTTGTGGGTGCTATGGCTTGTCATGTCCTGATGGATATATTGCATAGCCACTTTTAGTTCTTCAAACACTTGCAATAATTTGTCATAGAAATTATGGTCTGTTTGGAAATCAACTTTTTAGTGTCTGTTTAGTTAAAATATGAGGTGAAAAAAATTAGTGTTTGGGAATGATTTTGACTTCTATATAAAAACATGCAAATAGTAGAGAGAATGGAAGGATTTTCTGACCTTTTTTATGATTTTATGATTTTTTTTAGTGACTTTTTAGCTAAGACAAACAATCCCATTGAGATTAACGGGCCATAGAGATCAACCCAATCACTATAACACCTTGGGAGATTATCCCATTTAATTACCTCCATTAAGGAGAGTCAAGGGGAAAAATAAACCAAGAAAAAAGAAAAAGGAAATAAAATTAAGAATGATAAAAAAGAGAATATTGAGGAGAATGCATCACCACTAAGTCAACTGCAACAGAGAGTTTGTAGAAACACTTAACATGGAATAACTTATAGCAGCCAAAACCACTGTTTTTCTCAAACAAAAAAAGTTACAATTTTGCACAGAGTTTTCTTTCTGGAACAACAATGGTGGCATAAATGATACTCATGTACATATATCTCCTTATATTATTATTTGAGAAAATGAACCCACTAGATGTTTCCATTAACATATAAATATAAAGTTCAGCTTTTGTCTTCTTGAGGTTGTGGATGTTTTGTGGGTGCTATGGCTTGTCATGTCCTGATGGATATATTGCATAGCCACTTTTAGTTCTTCAAACACTTGCAATAATTTGTCATAGAAATTATGGTCTGTTTGGAAATCAACTTTTTAGTGCCTGTTTAGTTAAAATATGAGGTGAAAAAAATTAGTGTTTGGGAATGATTTTGACTTCTATACAAAAACATGCAAATAGTAGAAAGAATGGAAGAATTTTCTGACCTTTTTTATGATTTTATGATTTTTTTAGTGACTTTTTAGCTAAGACAAACAATCCCTCAGAACCATATTTCTTTTTGTCACCAAGGCACTCTTATTTGTGAGCTAGCATAATAGGGGGAAATTTTACTCAAATCAGGGGGAAAAAAATTCTGGGATGCACATCACAGAAAATTTGCGGACACCATTCATTTTTGTTTTGTAGTTTATTTTTGTTCTAAAATTTATATTCAAATATTTTATTTTTGTTTGAAATTTATATTCAAACAATACAAATATTCAAATTTTTTCTGGTGTGCTTTCTAGTGTACATAATGGGTATTATGCTTTTTGGTGTGTCCTGCAACTGGTCTGAATTCTTGGCTTCTCAACTGTCTGTTATACTCTGTTATGCATGACTGTAAGGGTGGGAGGTAGTGTTAATAGTAAGGGGGTTGTGGCTTGTGATGCTTTGGGTACATCCAGATGTGTAATGGGGCAGCTGCAATGGGGCTGCTCCTGGTGTACTGGTTGCACAACTGGGTTTCATTGTTTGAGAGTTATCCATTAGGCTGTTTGAGAGTTATCCATTTGGGAGACTTGGGCAGCTTTTTGATTTCTTCCGAATGATGTCATTTTATTTTACCACTGTCGGTTACTATTTTTGCACTATGGTATGTTATTTATGCCATCTTGAGCTGTGAATCTCTGCTATGTTGTGAGCTTTGATTGAAATTAGTGTTGGAATCTGTTGCTGCAAGATTGGAATGTTAGTTTTTGAGGATAATGTTAATTGTTTATTGGTTTATTACTTCTTTGTTTCATGTATCTGCGAACAAAAAATATTAATTTTTTGGGAGGGGAAGCACTTAATTAGTGACTTTCTTGTGAATTAATTTTCTTGATATTGGTTGTGCTAAACATTTAATATTACAAGTTAAGTTGTTTCTGTTTAGTGTCTAGAACTTGATGATCTTGATGTCATCTATTCCTATACAGTTCTCTTTCACATCAGTGTCTGCTTATTATCATTTACTTTGGTGTTACTTGTCACGTGCGTAAATGGTGCTGCAGAAGAATGTGATTTAACTGACGAAAGAAGAGCGAGATTAGAAATGAACTATGTATACAGTACTTGAAGTTGTTTGAGAGTTTGATATATATTGTTGGACCCATTCGCTATTAGCTTTAGCTTTGCAGCTGATTGTTTTCTTGACACATTATTAACTATGAAACACAGATACTAAAAAAACTATACGTGTACATTGTATACATTACGTGAGTAGAATGCTGCATGTTATAATTACTCCAATAAAAGATGAATCCCTAATCTGGACACAAATCGATGTGCCACAAGTTTAGTGTAGATTACTTTTTCAATGTTATTGTTTTCCCTTTAATTCATAAAAAATTTATGTACTAAGGTAGAATTGTAGTATTTTCTTAGAAATAGTGTATTATACTAGAGATTTTTCTTATCTATTATGTAATACTTAAATTTAATCATGGAGTTTAAACCATATAATGTATTGTACAAGAGATTTTCTTAACCTTCAATAACCAAACTTGCATTATGTATTTGCATGTGCACGTGAAAGACAATAAAAAATCATAACGAAACCAAACTAAGCCTTATGTTCCATCAAATGGGGTTGACAGGGTAAAAAAAATCATAACTCATAAAAATTATAATGCTACATAAATTGTGAAAATGAAATCAAAGAAAACAAATAAAAAAAAAATGAAACATATCAATATAAAATAGTTCAATTTTTGGAAAAGATATACATGAAAAGTCATATACAAATAATTCAATTATGTGTACCTACACTAAATTGTGTAGTGCTTTTTTATATTAGTATAGATAACTCTTTATATAATATATTTAACTTTTTATTTTGTTTCGTGGTACTTCAATTTAGTTAATTATCAATGGATAAGAGTTGGATGAAGAAGAGTAGATTGTCAAGAGATTATATGCAAGGGATTAAAGAATTTTTAGAGTTTGCTTCTCACAATGTATCTAATGATGGAACAATTTCATGTCCATGTATGAGATGTGTGAATTCATACATGTTGACCCTAGAAGTTGTACATCATCACTTGGTATTCTATGGAATTAGTCCGGGTTATAATTGTTGGTATCTTCACGGGGAAATTATGTCTGCAACGACTTCTAGTAGAACTAGTCAAAGCCATGAAGAAATACGACCTGAGTATGGTGATATACGTGACATGTTGCGGGATGTGTTTCCCATGCACACCCAAAATATGGATGAATATGCAGAAGAAAGTAATTTACCAGAACCATCTGATCAAGGTCCAAGCGTGCAACGACCTCAGGAAGATCCTAATGAAGATGCACAAAAATTTTACGACTTACTGAAAGATGCTGAGAAGCCTTTGTATGAAGGGTGCAAGAATTTTAGCAAGTTGTCAGCAATTGTGCATCTGTATCACTTGAAATGTCTTAATGGATGGAGCAACCACTCATTCACAATGTTGCTTCAAATTTTGAGAGATATGCTTCCTTCAGATGCAAATTTGCCGAAAGCCTCTTATGATGCCAAGAAGATTATTAAGGATTTAGGTCTCGGTTATGAAAAGATTCACGCTTGTCCTAATGATTGTATGTTATTTTGGAAAGAACATGCAAATGATGAAGTGTGTCATTGTGGTGCTTCAAGGTGGGCAACAAATGAGAATGATTTGCAGCATAATATGAGTACTTCATCTAAAAAGAGAAAGAAAAAGGCTGCAAAGGTTTTACGGTGGTTTCCCTTGAAGCCTCGATTGCAGAGGTTGTTCATGTCTTCAAAAACAGCTGCTTATATGAAATGGCATGCTGAAGGTCGTACAAATGATGGCATAATGAGGCATCCTGCCGATTCTATGGCTTGGAAAACATTCGACTCTCGCTATGTAGATTTTTCCTTTGACTCCCGCAATGTCAGGTTGGGGTTGGCAGCAGATGGATTTAACCCTTATGGGAATATGAGTACTAGTTATAGTATATCGCCGGTCATATTGGTCCCATATAATTTGCCTCCATGGATGTGCATGAAAAGATCTTCTTTTATCCTATCACTGCTTATTCCTGGTCCGAGCTCCCCTTCGAATGACATAGATGTGTATATGCAGCCTTTAGTTGAAGAATTGAAGGAATTATGGGATGTTGGAGTACAAACTTATGATATATCTTCCAAAGAGAACTTTCAAATGCATATAGCTCTAATGTGGACTATAAATGACTTTCCCGCATATGGTGATTTGTCTGGTTGGAATACCAAGGGTGCTCTTGCATGTCCTTCTAGTAATTATGAGACTCATTCTCGATGGTTAAAACATGGAGGGAAATATTGTTTTATGGGCCATAGGCGTTTCTTGGATAAAGATCATAGATTTCGTAAAGATAGAGCATCATTTGATGGCAAACAAGAAATAGAATCAGCTCCTGATATACTATCTGGCTTTGAGATCATGATGCAAACAGAAGACCTTGATTACAAATTTGGGAAGACAAAGGCAAATGAAAAAAACAAAAAAAGAAAGAAACAAGCGGATGGTGATGAGATACAACCATGGAAGAAAAGAAGTATATTTTTTACATTGTCATATTGGGCAAATCAAAAATTGTGTCACAATCTTGATGTGATGCATATAGAGAAAAATGTGATTGATAATGTATATGGAACATTGTTGAATTTAGATGGGAAGACAAAGGATAACTTAAAGGCACGTCTTGACTTACAAGAGATGGGTATAAGACGTGAACTTCACCCACAAAAGATCAGTTCCAATAAGACATATTTGCCTCCAGCTTGCTTCTCAATGATTTTAAAAGAGAAAGATGACTTCTTGAAAGTTTTGAAAGGGGTAAAAGTCCCAGATGGTTATGCTTCAAATATTTCACGTTGTATCCAACTTAGACAGCGTAAGATTATAGGTTTGAAGAGTCATGATGGTCATATTTTGATGCAACAACTTCTTCCTATCGCATTACGAGGAACATTACCAAAAAAAAGTCGCTTCACCTCTAATTGAGTTATCTTGTTTCTTTAGGGAAATATGTTCCAAAGTCTTGCAAGTGGAAGAGCTTGACCGACTTGCATCTCGAATTGTACTGACTTTATGCAATTTGGAGAGAATCTTCCCTCCCTCGTTTTTTACTATTATGGTGCATTTAGTCGTCCATTTGGCCACTGAGGCTAAAATTGCTGGCCCAGTTCACTATAGATGGATGTATCCCATTGAGAGGTTAGGTGTGACAACTTGTATCCATTTGTGTTTTTAACCCACATCACAATGACATCCAATTTAGTCAATCTATAATCATGCTGTTTTTCATGTAGGTATCTCCAACGACTAAAATCTTATGTTCGTAATAAAGCCCATCCAGAGGGCTCTATTGCAGAAGGATACATAGTTGAAGAGTGTTTAATATTTTGTTCGCGGTATTTGGAATCTATTGAAACTGTATTCAATCGACCCTTAAGAAATGTGAAAGATTCTACAGGGGCAATAATGAATATCGAACTTGATCAAAAGTCATGGATACAAGCACATCGTTATGTGCTATTTAACAATGATGAAATTCAACCATATCGGATGTAAGCAATATTTATGAGTTATGGTATATAAATAAGTTTGAGTTTCCCATTTTAATACTTGCAATAGTAACACAAGTTAGGAATGAACATACAGAGAACACAAGGAGCATATAAAGAGACAAAGTCGTCCACGTCGTCTAACTGATGAAGTTCTTAATAAGATGCATATGGAAAAGTTTTGTGAGTGGTTTCGATCATATGTAAGTATGTAGCTATTAAACAATACTATTACCATATACAATTTTTAGCATAGAGATTAATGTAATCATTTAATGGATTCTATAATATATCAGGTTGTAGCTATGGATGACACAAGAAAGCAACAACTTACTGATGAAATCAAGTGGCTTGCTCAAGGCCCAAACACTCTAGCTAGACGATTCAAACGACATGTTGTTAATGGTTTTAAGTTCCGAATTAAAAATTACGAGGAGGCGAAGAAAACTCAAAATAGTGGGGTTTGTGTGGCCACTGAAGGAGGCACCATGTATTATGGTGTTTTATTTGATATCATTGAACTGAATTATTTTGACAAGTTGAAATATGTACTATTCAAATGCAATTGGGCTGATGTGAACACAAGTAGAGGCTACAAGATAGATGAATATGGTTTTAACCTTGTAAATTTTTCACATTTGATACATACTGGAGAACGGTTAAATGATGAACCATTTGTCTTGTCATCTCAAGCTTCACAAGTTTATTATGTGGGAGATGTAAGGCATGAAAATTGGTTGGTTGTTGTTAAAACAAAAGCGAGGGATGTGTTTGATGTTGGTACTACTGAATTGGGTGATGGTGATGTTGACAATTACTATGATAACGAGCCGTATAATATGATAGTTGAAGACACTCATGTGGATGCGAATGAAAACCTCAATTGGGCTAGAAATGATACTGATGGAACGACAATCAATATACCACTTCCACTTGATAACCAACTGATCGATGAAGATGATTTAGATGAGGATGTCTAGCTATTGAGTTCAACTAGTTTGATTTTAATTTATTTATTCTCATGTTAATCTTTGAAACATGATTTGGTTTTGAATATAAATTTCAAATTTCTTAGTTTCATTTATGTATGGCAACCCATGTTTTTTATTTTAATGTTTGTTGTTAAATATAGTTATTACAAACTTGGACTGTCAAATCAGCATATTGACAATATGTTTTTTTCCTCTCTCTGGTTTTAACTTTTAGTTGGCGAATCTAGGTATATCATATCTTGAGAAGAAAGAAGTCTGCATCCGTCTAAGAGAGGTGAGTATAGTCATGTATGTCCGCACCTGTCTGAATGTAGTACTATTATTGTGTCATGTTATGTTTAATGAACTAAGGAGTTTACTAACAACACTTGGGATGATGTGGACGTGTTGGAGCCTCTTTCTTACAGAGCAGTTTAATGTGTTGCCTCTGGGCATCTGCACCATAATGCTGGTGCTGTGCTTGCCTAACCTGAACTATGTACTGTCCGATTTTGATATGATTACATTCAGCCTGCTCAAAATTCTAGTCAAATTATTGTGCTCAAACTATCCCTAGGGATTTTTAAGGCATTAATGATAGGCCAAATCAATTTTTATTGTGTTCTTCAGTGGCTAGATTTGAATTACGATCCTTTTTTTTAAAATGTTTTTCTACGGTTTTAAATTTTAATATTATGAATTCCTATAACAAATTAAATATGTCGAAGGCAGCACTGAATACTTATCTGAATTAAGTAATATAAGTAACTCAGTCAATGACATTGTACATCATCTTCAACAGGTTTTAGTCTGCCTTGGCTAAGGTTACTGTCTAGCTAACTTCTGTTTCTTTCTGATCTGTCCCTGTGTTGTTTGATCTGTGTTATTGTGGTCTGGTGTGAGATCCGAGTTATTGTGGTATGTTCCTGGGATGGTTTTCAAGGCAACAATTCAGGTGCTGGTTTGTAAGGTAGAAGACTGCTATTGTGGTAAGGCTGCTGTTTCTACTGGAATACTAGGCCCCAGTTTGGGTGTGCATTAGCTTCAGGCTGCAGAGTTCTAAGTTTGCATTGGTGCTTCTAGTCTGCTAGTAGCAGGTTTGTTGTGTTTCAGTTCTGGGCTGGTTTTCAAGGAACCAGTTCAGGTGCTGGTTTATAAGTAACCTTAATTAAGCCAAGAAAGGAAAATGTATGGACAGATATATTTTTGTTTTATTTTTTTTCTACATTTTGCTTTTGGCTTTGTTTTAGTCTGATGAAATAGGATGAGTGGCCAAACTTCTGTAAGTTATCTTGTGGTATTTGTTCTTGTGTAGGAAAGTCCAGAGCAAGAGATGCTGCATTAAATGCCGTTCAATCACCTTTATTAGATATTGGCATAGAGAGGGCCACTGGAATTGTCTGGAACATAATTTCTGGTACTGATTTAACTTTGTTTGAGGTCTCTCTCTCTCTCTCTCTCTCTCTCTCTCTCTGACATCATATGCCTGGGTTTGATCTATGTAGTTAACATTTGTAGATTCCTCTTTACCTCATATTTTGTTTGGGCATCTTCTGAATATAACCATTGGTGGTTAAAATTACGATCTAATTGAGAGTGAACTTCTACAACTTCCGAGACATAAATATATGTATACATGCACATACATATTTGTATACATGTATTGCAGCCTATGTAAATTCCTACACCATTTATTTATTTATTTAGTAAATAATTACTACATTAATTAGCATCAAGGGGATGCCACCCATGTACATCAAAAGAGCCTATGAGAGAGCCCTCAGTTTTTATAAAAAAAATTTAAATGACCAAAAGGTCCCACAAAAAGGAATATTACTTACAAATAAGGTATTGGTCCCAGGTTAGGCCCCACGTTTGCCACTTAAAGTACCTTGAGGATTTTCTCAATGTTCATCAATTTTACATGAACAGAACAGAGGCAAATTCTTATCTGCTGTCATGCTATATTTGCTTATGTTGAACCTTGTCATGCTATGTTCTTTATCCGCATGCATGTCTCTTTATCTATCTTACTGATCACACCTTGATTCATACTTTGAACCTAAATGGTTAGTATTATTGGTGAAGAAAGGCACAAAATGTGTACAGTTTTGCTTGGCTTCAGTGTTTAAATCTTATGGTCTGTGAAAATATTGATTAGTTCATGGTTAGTTAATTGATTTGGCCTATCATTAATGCCAAATAACATTGACTCATGAAACAATAGCAATAATGATTACCCAAACCCTAAAAAAATCCTGTTTGACAGGAGATATCACTCATCACTACTGGGGATAGTCAGGCCCTTTGTCTGCATTTGTTTATGCATCCATTGCCAGTTCTCTAGTGTGACCTCACCCCCAAGAGCCCGAATAATAGAGCCACCATTGCATAAGCCCACTTTGTAGCATTCCTCTAGGTTTAGCCCCTTTACCAATCTGTACAAAAACCCACTTGCAAACAGGTCCTCTGCTCCAGTGGCATCTATTGCCTTTGCCTCCCCAATTGCGGGAACCCAAACAATCTAAAAGAGGGAATAAAATTCTATTATTACTTACCAAAAAGTAAAAAAATATAAAAGTGGATTTTTTTAGTGCTAATGTTCTGTACTTAGACCTGTTTCTGTAGTTAGATCTGTGTTTGTAGACTTACTATATACTAAAAGAGAGATTATTATAAGATTCCATGGAATAGTTACCTTTCAAAGTTCCACGGATTTTATATATATAACCAGGTTATATATTAATATTTCTAATAACCAAAACTATGGAAGAGGAGACAAATATAACATATCACTGACCTCTTTTCCATGTTTTGCAATGCATCCATTAGGCCCTAATGTCACCACAGCCCACTGACAGTGTTTTGCCAAAAAATCAAGAGTAGACTCTGGATTGGCACCTTCTTCACCCCTACAACCATACCAAGACAATCAAACACCATTTACTAGAGACTGCACCCTTAGTTGAGAACCAATGAACTTACAATCATTTTGCCCCTCCACAAATACCACAGTGCAACAAAAGGAAACACATCCCATATTTTCCATTCCAAGATTCTAAATTTATACCCAATCCACCATTGTAACAGATCTGTTCCTCTTTCCATGCATTGTGTACAGAAAATCTGCTTAGAAGTAGAAAAAGAAAATAATCTTGTGAGGTGTATATGAGCTTTTCCTATGGCTTATGTTCTTTAATATCTTTAGTATACTATGATAAATGCTCATTTAATTTGATTAATATCTTTGTGTTTGATTAATTACATCTATTGTTTATCTAGAAGATATGGCAAAGAAACGATTTAGAACTTGCAATCTTGAGAATGATTCCCAAAATAAGCGATCAAATGGCTCTTCACAACCTAGCCAGTCAAATAACTCTTCACAGCCTAGCCAACCAAATAACCCTTCACAGCTTAACGCACCAAGTGGAACTTCATAACCTAGTCACTCAATTGGGTCTCCACAAATGGACTGGCCAAATAGAACTTCACAACCTAGACATTCAAATGCCTCTTTACAGCTTAATCGGCCAAATGAAACTTCACAGCCTAGTCGATCAAATGGCTCTTCACAACCTAGTTGGTCACATCCCTCCTCACATGCTCCATCACATGTTCCACATCCTCAACCTCAAGAATCAGAGGTTAACCCTCAGTTTGAAGATGATTTAGATGAGGACTGGTTAAGGGAAGAAGAAATGCAACGTACAGGTATTATTAGATTTTTAGTTGAGGTACAAATTACAAGTCACCCTTAACTTCCATGATATATATCATTGTTGTATTGTAATAGATGAATCGACCAAGCGAAACACGCGGGGAATTACACGTATGGTTGAAGTGTGGAATTTGACTCCAGAAGAACGCATTATGCTCACCTTCAACAAGGATTTGCAGGCTGTTATCTACAAGAGGGTGGTATATTCAGTTCGCTTCGATAGGCCCATTGCTAAGGAAAGCCACACTTATGCCCAATTAAGTACAAGAATTGGGCAGTGAAAGTGCAGATCAGTATAAAGAAGATTGGGTGGAATAATTATCGAGGTAGATTTTCTAACTACATATTTTGTGATAATTCTAGACTACAGTAGTAAAGAAAATTGTATTAAGCTTTTGCATGTATGTAGAATGATGCACAATTTTCAAATCTTTGATTATATAACTGCTGAGCCTTTTCTTCATTGATAGAATCTTTGTAGGACATATGTTTTTGTTGTTAGGAATGTGTATGAAATTTCCTTTCCTATATTAGGATATAGGTGTCGTCTAGAAGTAAGAAGTATGAAATTAGTGTAGTTCATTATCTCCATGTAAAAATATGAGAATTAGGCAAAGAAATGCACAAATGCAGTTTATATTATTGTATTGATAATTTTAAGAATGTTCATAACATGAAAAACCATACAATTGTAGTCCAAGTTTGCCATTCCTCAAGATGAGAGAAGGGATATGATTAGGCATCGAACATTGAAGTCAATGGGAGAGAAATGGAGAAATTGGAAATGTAGTTTAAAAGCAAAGTACTATGATGAGACAAAGACAGCAGCACAGATAGTAGCTACTGCGCCTTTAGCAGTTAACCGTGAGCACTATGCTGACCTTGTCGCGTATTGGTTTTCAAAGGAAGGGCAGGTATGCATAGATGTATGTTTTCTATCAAATAATACAATGTCATTATATCAATTTTTTTTTAACATATTGTTATGCATTTATGAGTGAAGGAACTTAGTGCAACCAATAAGGAAAGCAGGCGAGAGCAAACAAGTGCACATACGGGAGGATCTAAAACTTATGCACAACATGCATATGATATGGTATTTCAAACTTCATTCCTTCTTTTATATTTTCAATTTGGTTAGCGCATTATATTATGAATTTATTCTCAAACGATATGATTGTTACATGGGAGCAAAAAGATAAGATTGCACTAGATCGAGCAAAATTATATATACCGCTTCACAAAAGGAAAGATGGGACACCAGTCAATGAAGCAGCAGCTACAAAAATTGTATGCCCATTTAATAAGTTACATTTTCAAAATTCTAATGTGTTTGTGGCAAACAATCACTCTCGCTCTTTGTCTTCTTATTTCCCCCCCCCTCCAAATTTATGATATAGGAAAAACTAGAAGCTTTGATGAGCTCACAACCAAGTAGCTCCGAAGGAAATGTTGGTGGACGTATATCTTGGTCACCAAATGATATTTATTCCCAAGTGATGGGTAAAGAGCATCATGGTCGTGTTCGAGGTTTAGGATTTGGGCCTTCTCCTTCCAAGCATGGCTTCATGTGTAATAATTTTGACCACTTAAGAATGGTTTCTGATGAAGAGAGAATGAGAGACAAAGACACTATAATTGAGTTGAAGGAACAACTAAAAACTCAAGGTGATCAGTTACAAACTCAAGGTATTCAGTTGCAAGCTCAAGATGCTGTAATAAACTCTTTAAAAGAGCAAGTAGCATTTTTGATGAGTCAGAGACATAGTTCTAGTGGTTTGCAGGTATAACTACATATAACATATTCTTTTATATGATGTATTTATCATATGTTATCATTTTCTAAATTTATGCATACTTATGTAAATTTTATTGTATAAATTAGGCGACAGATGGATGTAGTGGCATTCCGGACCAAACTTCTCCACAAACAAATCAAAGATCCTCTTTTCGAAGTCATGAAACGCAACCTTCTAATCGAGGTAAATCATCATTACAATACACATACATTGACACAAATTTAGAACCACTGTTAATGACTTCTTTACCAATAAATTGTTGAAATTTTCAGATTAAAATGTAGCCCTCGACGATCAACAACTTTTTTGTAAAGGCCAAAGATGAGCAAATCACTCCTACTAGATCAAAAGCTAGAGAGAAGGTAATGTTCTAGAGTGAGAGGCTCAACAATGGTGTTTTTAGAAAAGTAGGAGAGAGAAGAGAAAGTGAAAAAATGATTTGAAAAGTCAAAACACGGAACTTAAACCCAGTCGCCCCGCTCGAGCGTAAAACACTCCGCTCGAGCGTAACTCACAGACTCCCGCTCGAGTGCCAACAATCCCGCTCGAACGGCGAATACACACTCCCAGAACTTCTGCAGAACCAGGTCTCCGCTCGAGCTCCCAACTCCCCGCTCGAGCGGCACTCACGTAACTCCGCTCGAGCGGCCAATACCACGCTCGAGCGTCCAACACTGCACAGAAAACACTGGATGGGTGCAATCCCCGCTCGAGCGCCAACACCCCCGCTCGAGCGGACAGGTCAAAACCTGGATAACTAGTTTTGGTTTCTAAACTCAACCAACTTGTAACAAACCTGTCCAACACATCCTATAACTCAAATACGAAGTAAAAAGGATGCAAACAAGATAATAAACAACTACCCTCAACCACGAACACATGTCCGGATCACTGTACAACAAGGGTAAACCCGGGATCGCTATATTTTTCATGGAGATCTTTATAAAATGGTGTCATGAGTAATACTTTTGAGTACTATTGTTATGTGACAAGTTTTTCTTTTGGATTATGGTGTGGGCTATTAGTTTGCTAGAAACATTGGATCTTTTTTGTATTACAGGCTTATGTAATGAACCTTTTACTTAAGGTGTTTTGGATATTTTGGGATTATGAAAATGCAGAAGAATGTTTGGATCTTTTCAATGTAACCAGGTTATGTTGCTCTTAGGTTTTTTTTTTGTATTGTTTGCCTTGTTCTTGTCCTCATTTGCTCTTTGCTTATGTGGTGTGTGAACATGATGGTTTTTGTTGTCTAAATTGTCTTTTTTTGTTTTTTTGGTTTATGTGTCTTTGTATAGTTGGTTAGCTCCTAGGGTATACCCCTTGTATCTTGTAGTTTTTTGTCGTTTTATTTATGACTTTATTCATCTCCCCCCCCTCCAAAAACCAAACACCAAAAACTCTTGATTTCTTGCCATCTATTGAGGTTTTGATTCATCGTCCTTCACAAACTTTGGAGAGCTATCTGGGTTTTCCCCTTTTTTTTTTTTTTTTTTTTTTTTTTTTTTTTTTTTTTTTTTTTCCCCCCCCCCCCCCCCCCAAAAAAAAAAAAAAAAAATAGCCTATAACAGTGGTTAATAACCGTCGCTGTAAATAAAATTCGAAACGAATTCTATGGTTATAGCGACAGTGTAAAACTGATGGAATAGAGTCAAAATATAGCAGCGGTTTACAAAATGTCGCAAAAGTGAAGGATATAGCAACAGTCGACCCGTCGCTATAAAGTTAGCAAGTAATTGGTACATTCAAGATATAGCGACATTTGTAATTGCCACTACATCAACCGTCGCAATAAAAATAACTATACCAGCGTTTGCGAAAAACGTCACTATAAGGATATGCCGACGGGGCTATTGCGGCGGTTTGGCCGCCACTATTGCAACCGCGGGTAAAGGTGTTTTAGTTTTTAGCGACGCTTTTTCCTGCTTTTAGCGACAGTTTTGGCCGCTACTAAATCTTGATTTTTAGGTAGTGATTGTTTCCTTTAACAACAGAAAAATGCGTTCAAGTGAAAAATTCAATTGGTGAACTTTGTCCTCCGCAATCTACAACCAAAAAGAGTTTCACGAGAACTTGAATATTATAGAATATAACAATACGATATATTATGATATAGAATTTTGATTTATTTATCACAATTCTATTCTATATTATTCACAATTCTAATTGGTTTGAATGAAATCCCAACTACTGAAGTTCAAGAATGCAAATAAAATAAAATAATGTATTAGTTGAGTTTATTGGGGACCAACAAAAATTGTAGGTAAAATGTCACTAATCCTTTTACAACCAAATAGATTTGTCTCAAAAATGAAATAATATGATTAAATATACTTTTTTTCAAAATTCCTTTATTTTGTTCTTAAAAGTATAATCACTACAAGAAAATGCAGAATTGGCGACCAAAATAAGTATTTTCGTCGCTGAAAGTAGTACCAATGGCGACTAAAATCAGTTTTGTCGCCAAACCTGAGCATTTTTGCCGACTAAAGCACTTTAGTCGCCGAATATAGGCCTTTTAGCGACTAAAAGTCAGTTTAGTCGCCGAATATAGGAGTTTCAGCGACTGAAAAAAATTTAGTAGCTAAAAGGCACGGTTTTTGGCGACTAAAAGCATTTAGTAGCCAAAACTATAGGTTTTGGCGACTAAAACCTACTTTAGTCGCCGAATATAGGTGTTTTACCGACAAACAAATTTTTTGTAGCCAAAAGTAAAGGTTTTTGGCTACTAAAAAAAATTTAGTAGCTAAAAGTGGACAAATGGCGACTAAAACGGAGTTTAGTCGGCAAAAGTGGAGCTTTTGGCGACTAAAAATCAGTTTAGTCGCCGAAAGTTATTTTTTTTGGGCGGAAATTCTGCATTTAGCGACAAAACAACATTTAGTAGCCAAAAAGCATAGAATTGGCGACTAAAATTCATATTTAGTCGCCAAAAGTGCTCCCCTATTTTAAAGTTAGCAAGTAATTGGTACATTCAAGATATAGCGACATTTGTAATTGCCACTACATCAACCGTCGCAATAAAAATAACTATACCAGCGTTTGCGAAAAACGTCACTATAAGGATATGCCGACAGGGCTATTGCGGCGGTTTGGCCGCCACTATTGCAACCGCGGGTAAAGGTGTTTTAGTTTTTAGCGACGCTTTTTCCTGCTTTTAGCGACAGTTTTGGCCGCTACTAAATCTTGATTTTTAGGTAGTGATTGTTTCCTTTAACAACAGAAAAATGCGTTCAAGTGAAAAATTCAATTGGTGAACTTTGTCCTCCGCAATCTACAACCAAAAAGAGTTTCACGAGAACTTGAATATTATAGAATATAACAATACGATATATTATGATATAGAATTTTGATTTATTTATCACAATTCTATTCTATATTATTCACAATTCTAATTGGTTTGAATGAAATCCCAACTACTGAAGTTCAAGAATGCAAATAAAATAAAATAATGTATTAGTTGAGTTTATTGGGGACCAACAAAAATTGTAGGTAAAATGTCACTAATCCTTTTACAACCAAATAGATTTGTTTCAAAAATGAAATAATATGATTAAATATACTTTTTTTCAAAATTCCTTTATTTTGTTCTTAAAAGTATAATTTTTGCAGACAAATTATTTTTGCCCCTAAAAATTTGTCTCTAAAATCTTAATTTCTTATAGTGGCTATGTGATTTTGGTGGAATGGTTGTTAGTGTATTGTTGGTTTGTCAGTGCTAATTTTTTTTTTTTAAAATTTCCCTTGTAAATGTTTTTATTGTGAATATATTGTCATTTTGCTGTCAATTGTTAGGCTATTATGGTTTCATTGGTGGCACTGATAAGCTTGGCACAATTAAAGTCGTTTGATTGCCGGATTTTGTTTAGAGATTGGTATAGAAATAAAATTTAATAAAGAATGGGAACTGATTTTACAATCATTTGTGATGTTGCAAATATTTGTTAGAATTTTTTAGCCAGATATGTTCAAAAATTCATGCATGGATTCATTATGCTCCTGTGATTTGGAACCAAGTAGTAGTTGCTTCTAAAGTTTAAGCATATACCATTCTTCCAAATTTATTAGGGTTTTGAGCTATTTGAATTTCTAAAAAATTATGAATGAACCTCTGCTTCCCTTTTGATGCTGTGGTCAATTAAAAGTATAATTTCCGGCAAAATAAAACGATACCCAATGAAAAATCACCTCAAGATCAAGTCTCCTGAATGCTAAATAAATTATAATATTATGCACATATGCTTAGCCATTTAAAAAAAAAGAAGGGGTATTTGAGAAGATGCACACTACGTGCACCTGGATAGAAAAATTATATGAAGCTTTACTACAAATACTTACTAGAAGAAGAATCAAACTTCAGACATAGTGGTTGAGGATTGCTTTGTGGAGAAGGTTGGTTACTCTTTAGTGGTTAAATATTTATTTTGACAATGAACTATTGAAAAACTATTTGTGAACACATTTGTATAGAATTATCTATACTCAAGCAAATTATCAATGTTATTTTCTAATTAACTTCACAAGGAAAACTTGAAAGTGGATTTGTTTTCAGTTCCAACTCTGATTTGCATTGGTGCTAGAGAAAAGGAAAAGAGAGAAGATATAAAGCAATTCTGTCAATCGGCTAACCTACATAGAGCTTCATTTTAAGACAATAAAAGGCCAATTTGTTTTTTGGTTGACACTTGCATGAAATGTAAGATGTGGTTATAATTGATAGGTTATAAAATAAGAAATATTTGTGTATTTGTGTTGGAGATTTTTTCAAATATAAAAATAAAAATTCTATAATAAAAAAGAAAAAGAATAAGATATGCACAAAACATTGGATAAGTTAATAAATTTACTTGCCTTGCTCATAAACCTTTAGTTAGTTTTTTCGTCATAAAAAACAGACAAACAAACAAAAAAAATTAGTAAATCTTTTACCTACCTTTCAACGTCTACAAAGTCCAATTATGTAGAATAAAAAAAGATATTACTATTAGAGATGGAAGTAGAATTTTATCATTGGAAGAGTTAAAGGAAGTCAAAAATAAATTTTTTTTTTTTTTTTACCATATATACAAACACACTACATACAATATGAAATATAAACTAGATATACACATTAAAAAAATTCAAATACTATAGAAGTAATCTCTAATAAGATAAAAAAAAATTAAAAAAAAAACTTTGGGTAGAAAATAAAAAAAAGAATGTAAGATGGTAAAAGAATGTGATACATATCTTTTGTACTAGGAAATTATTTTATATATAAAATATGATATCTATTTTAAAAATATTAATGGTAAATATAGTTTTTCACAAAAACAGAAGATCCATAAACCCCTCATAGTTTTCTCCTAATTTTGCCCTGATAACTACCCTATTCTAATCACATGCAATTGGCACTGTTCTAAACTAGCAAGGGCCATAGGTTGTTAATTTCACACAGCATTTTAATTTCGCTAATTTTACATGTATTGAAAAAAAAAACACAATAATATTTTTACATGCCCTGAAAAAAAAAAAAAAAACAGTAATATGCACATAAAAATCAATATGGAATTTAGATTCATTTTGAGTACCACTTACATCAAAAATGAATTTAAACTACACATTGATTTTTTTGTGTTTTTTTGTATTTTTTTTTTTTTTTTTTTTTTTTTGAGACGATATTTTGTGCACATAATAACATTATTATTTTTAATAGTTGACAAGCTATTAATAAAGATTAGGAGATAAACGAGGGGTGACAAGTACTTCAAGTGGAGTGACTTTGAGATTTGTTAGTCCAGCGCTCTCAGTCATATCAATTAGTGCATTGGATGGAGTCGAAAGCTCGAAGCCATGGAGAAACCTAGCTAGCACCAAGTGCAACATTTGGACGCCGAATGATGTTCCAGGGCACACCCTTCTTCCAGCTCCAAAGGGGATCAACTCAAAATGCTGACCCTTGACATCAACATGTTTGTGGCTTGTAAGGAACCTCTCCGGTCGAAACTCCGATGGCTCTGGCCATATAGTTGGGTCCCTTTGGAGCTTCCATAAGTTTAGAGTTAGGCGTGTGCCTTTGGAGACATGGTATCCACCAATAATGCAATCCTCTGTGAATTCTCTTGGGCCTGATAATGGGCCTGCTGGATATAACCTTAATGTCTCTTTAACTATGCCTTGGAGGTATACTAATTTTTCGATATCTGTTTCGTCCACTTGTCTTTCCTTACCGATGTGGATGTCCACTTCTTCTTGAGCTTTCTTTAACACGTGGCGATTGTTCATTAGTAATGAGAGTGCCCATGTCAACATTACTTGCAGTTGTATCGGCACCTCCAGTGATCAAAACCTACAAATCGTAAAGCCAGCAACTATTAGCAAATTAAAAGGCAGTGCCCATAGGCAATTTGAGTAGTGTTGAGTGTGATGATCATTTGAAACTTGGTTGTGTTTGACACCATGTTCAACTTGGAATGACGAAAAAATTATTAATAAAATATCAGTCTTGCTAATAAGTGTTTTTAGGGTATAATATACTTTTCATTAATTCTAGTATAATTTTACTGAATTCGAGACACTTTTTAACATTTTTATATTCTGTAGAGAATTTTTACATACTTCCTAACATTAAGCAATACACATAGGACACTTGCTAACTAGTGCCAAAGAAAATTATGTGTGAACAGAAAATTTGACAAAATAATTTGATCCTTATCGGCCAACTAGATTTCTCACTAAAAACCTTTGACTGGTCTTGTATTAGTGGTTGATTATTTATGGGAGCAGCTTGTCCCCAGTCCTTAATCGAATTGGACAGTGCTATTCGACCCGTGGGGGCTTACCACGGGTCATGTTTTGATAATCCGAATTGTTGAATGTATAGAACTCGTCGAGTATTATATGCTTGTAAAAAAATCACGTTGATCGGATATCGATAGTTATGTGATCAAATTAGTTTTATATAAAAAAAAATAAACGGTGAACAAATTAACGGTTGACAAAATACTGATATGATAAGATAATTATTGATATATGATCAATGTAATTTTTTAACAGACATATAGTACTCAACAAATTCTACACATTGATTGGTTTGAATTATCAAAACAAAACTCATGGTAGACTCCACAGACCGAATGATATTATCCAGTCCGATAAAGGGCTGGAGGCCAGCTGTCCCATTATTTATTGTGGAAAATAAAGCAAGGATAAGCACCGGATTCACGTTTATTTATTTATAACTAGAGAAGAGCATAGAAACTTTGTAACGAGGGCCCGCTTACCTGAAATTTCTTTAGTTCAAAAAGAAAAACATCTTTTTATAATATAATATAAAATATTATTATTTGGAATAAACTACATAAGAAAAGAATCTTCTATTTTATATTGTCATGTTTAAAAAAGAGAAAAAAACAAAAAACAAAAAAGTTTAAGAACCGAAGATTTATAACACTGAAAAAAAAAAGGGACCAAAAAATTAGTAACATATAATTGCATTAAAAAGGATATGAATCCCCTTCATTTCATGATGGATAATTATGAAACAATCATATTGACATGTTTTTATTTTAGGTTAGGTTTCACTCCAATTCAAATAGGATTGGAGGATATTGGTGGGCCTCTGTAGATCCATCATAGAGCCCGTATCGATGATCCAAACTATTGAATGTGTAAAACTCGTTAAGTACTTCATCTCGACAAAAAAATCATGTTGATTGGATATCGATTGTCACTTGATCAAATCACATTTGTATTAACGGTAAGTATGATTTTTTAAATAAATTGTAGATACTAATGTGATTTGATCTAGTGTCTATCGATATACAATCAACGTAATGTTTTGCAGAGATAAAATACTTAACAAGCCCTACATGTTGATTGGCTCGGATCATCGATATGGGCTTTGTGGTGAACTCACGGAGGCCCAATAACACTCTCTAATTGGGTTTTTCAACTAGGGAAAGCCCTCTCCTTTTATTTTAAATTCCAAATTAAAAATATATATATATATATATATATAGATTTAGGATGTTGTCAACCTATACCTTTACTGCATAAATTAAAAAGATTTTAAAATTATAAATACTTTATAACACACTTTTACAATGCGGATCTTATTTTAATAATTTAAATTATTTATAGTATAAATATACGTGTATAAATTATATATTAAAACAAATAACTTGGAATCATAATTACGCAAGTTTATAATATTTATTTTCAGATAAATAGACAATCTATTTGAAAAGCATACTTTGTTACTATTTATAAAAACAAATAAAGTAATAATGTTAACCAGATCAATTTAATTTTGTAAGTAATAATATATACAAAAATATATAAGATGAAAACTTCATATCACCAACCACCAAAAAAATGGGTCACAAGTCCACGAATCTTCACTCACCGGTCCAGTCCAACGAGCCTGGCCCAGAGGAAGAAAACTTACCAAGCACGTGGCCTTGTTGATGACATCAATATCGTACCCAGCAAGGTCAGTGTCTTCAAGAGTTGACAGCATCACGTCCATGAAGTCCTGCTCGTCGTTAGAATCACCGGAATCTCTCTTGCGACGGTGCTCCTCCAACCAACCCCCAACAAGACAGTCCATTTCCTTCGCAGTCTCTTTCATGGCCTTTTCATGTCCACCCAAGTCCAACCACCTCAGAAATGGGAATGCATCAGACACCAAAAACAGCCCCAAATACTTGAAGAAATCCCTAAACGCCTTCTGACACCGCCGCGCCTCCTCCTCGTCATCACCACCGCTACCGCTACCAAAATACCTGATGTAGATTGAAATTTAAAAGTTATAAATTTTATTTTATTATTTAGTATTTACTTAGAATTATTGTTTAAGACTAAGATTTTACTTTTCTATTTATTTCCTCTGTATTTGGTTAGGGATTTAGTAAGCACTGTATTTGATTAGGGATTTAGAGAGAGAGAAAAAAAAATATATATATATATATATATATATACTAGTCTTAGTTTAATTATTATTTTGAGACTTAAAAAATACAAAATGACAAAAATAGAATAAATAAATTAATAAGACAAAATATCATATTCAATCTATAATCATTACACTTTATTTCTTACAAAAGTCAAAAAATCAAACCAAACAAGACTAAAAAAATCAAGCTACAAAAATCTCAACACAAAAAAAAATAAAATAACAATATTAGCTAATGTCAAACGAGCTTTATATTTCCCCTACTTTTATATCCTTGTTCCTTTTATCTTTCTAAGTCTCTTCACAAATTATTTAACCAAACTTTACAAATTCTCTGACCAAACACATCACTTTGCTTGTTTTTACACAAAAGTCAAAAAATCAAACCAAACAAGACTAAAAAAATCAAGCTACAAAAATCTCAACACAAAAAAAAAAAAAAATTAACAATATTAGCTAATGTCAAACGAGCTTTATATTTCCCCTACTTTTATATCCTTTTTCCTTTTATCTTTCTAAGTCTCCTCACAAATTATTTAACCAAACTTTACAAATTCTCTCACCAAACACATCACTTTGCTTGTTTTTACTTTTTAAAAAATACTTTTCAAAAAATTCTACTTTTTTTATTTTTTGTGTTTTTTTATTTTTACTGAATTTTTTTAATATTTTAAACAATTTTTTTACTTTTTAGACACACCTAACATAAATACACCTAAAAAGTAAAAAAATTGTAAAAAAAAATCTTTTAAAAATTCACTAAATACCAAAAATATAAAAAAAATATATAAGAATTCAGTACATTTTTTGTATTTTTATGTATTGATTAATTTTTTAAAATATTTTTTCACAAATTTTTTACTTTTTAGATACATTTAAGTAAGATGCATCTAAAAAAGTAAAAAAAATGTTTAAAATTTAAAAAATATTCACTAAAAACAAAAAAAAAACTATGAAAACTTAAAAAGTCAATTTTTAAAAAATTTAATTCAAAAAACTGAAACCAAACGCATTGATTAATTTTCTTATTTCATTTATTTTCTTCCTCTTCAAGAATTAATTTTTATTTTGGTGTGCGATTTTACTACTGTTTACGTTTTATGTTGCGTCAATCACTATCAATATCAATATCAATACCTCTTTCCGGCGACCATTCTAACCACCACGTTGAGAGTCAAGTCCGCAAACCACTGCTTCATCTCCACCATAATCGTCCCTGAGCTATCTCTCTTTTCTCTCCAAACCTTGTGAAGCTCTTTAATGGCGGTGTCGGTTTCGGAGACTCGGACGTGCTTGAACTGCTCGAGCCGGCGGTGACCAACGAGCTCGAGCGAGATTATCTTGCGGAGCTCGCGCCAGTATGAGCCGTATGGGGAGAACGCGAGCATGGCGTAGTTGTAGCCGAGGTGTTCAGCGGCGATGAATTTGGGGCGAGACGAAACTGCTATGTCGTGGGTGGTGAAGCATTCTTTGGCTATCTCCCAATTGCTCACCACCACAGCTCGGTGGAGGCCGAGGCGGATGGTGAAAATGGGTCCGTATTTGTCGGACATGGAAGCTAAGGTTTTGTGGGGTAGTTGAGAGCCACCGAGGAGGTGGAGGTGGCCTAGTATCGGCCATGCACCACCAGCTTCTGGGGGTGAAATTGCCTTGGAAGTTTTAGATCTGTGTAGTAAATAGTAGAGAAGTAGGACTGAAGCAAAGGCTAAAGCTATGGAAGTGTTTGCGACTGAGATATTAAGAACATCCATGGCAGCTTATGGCAATTGGATTTGTTTTGGGTTTAAGGTTTTCTACTAACTATATATATATATACATAGTGATATTATAGTAATTCAAACTTAATCATTTAAAAATTATCTATAATTATCAATGATGTAAATTATTCTGTAGGTTAATGTATATATGGTATATACTCTTAGATGTGTTAGGTATTAATTCCTTAAATATATTTGGAAATAATCATAGTTAGGTTTCTTGTAGGATATGTTTTCTTGTAGGATATACTTTCTCATAGTTAGCTTTTAGTAAGATTCTTTTTCTCAGCCTATATATACAGACCTTCTATTAGATAGGATAAATACATTCAATACAATACATATTATTTCCTTTCTCTCTACTATTCTAATATGGTATTAGAACTAGATTAAATATTTAGTAATTTCGCTTCATCGGGCGGTAGCCTTACCTTGACCGCCCACCGGACCTCAACCCATTTTACGACCATATTTTATTTTCCTATATCGCTTCGTGGTGATTTCTTCCTCTATCCACTAATTTATTCATATCTTAAATATCTCTATCATATATTTTTTTTGTAATCACAATCTTTTTTCTTTTTTTTTTTGTATTGAATGAATTGTATTTCCTCTAAAAAATAAAAAAATAAAAAAATTATACCTATATCATGGTTAGTATGGTTATACACCATGCAAACCACCCAAGTTGCCCTCTTTGACACACAACCCAAGTCGTCCCTTGACACATCACCCAAGCCATCCCCTCCGGCGCACAATTCAAGCCACCCTCTCTAGCGCACAATCCAAGCCACCTTTTCTAATGTACAACTTAAGTTGCACCTTGCGCACAATCCAAGCCGTTCCTGACGCACTTAGTCATCTGTTACCATCATCATTTAGCACCACGTTAGAAGTTATGTGTGTATCACGTTTGTTGGTCTTGACATCCAGTTCTCTACATCAATTCGGCATGACCCCTTTAAATTGTTTCGACATTGATTCCAATTAGTTTCTACAACGGTCCGACATAACCTCTTTAAACTATACTGACATCCAGTTCTCTACATCGGTCCGACATGACCCCTTTAAACTGTCCCAACATTAATTTCGATTAGCTGCTACAATGGTTCGGCATGACCTTAAACTGTCTCGGCATTAGTTTCGGCCAGTTCTTTCAACGGTCCAACATGACCATAAATTGTCTCATGTCCCAGCATTAGTTTCTGCCCGACATGACCATAAACTGTCTCTCGGCATTAGTTTCATCCTCTAATCTATCTCAAGTATCCTTGCATTCCCATTCAGACTTTGTAATTTATTTGCCTTTTATTTTATTTTTTAGTTTTATTTCATATTTTAGTTTCTTTCTCCAAACTCAAGATGTTTATCTTCCTTAAGTTTGAGAGGGATATTGATGTATATATGGTATATATTCCTAAATATATTTGAGAATAACCATAATTAGATTTCTTATAAAGTACTCATTCTGTTTCTAGTAAGATTATTTTTCTCAGCCTATATATACAGGTTTTCTATTATATAGGATAAATACATTCAATACAATACATATTATTTCATCCCTCTCTTATTCTAACAATATATATAAATTTCATATTGAGGAGTGAGGGAGACCCCCTCCAATCACTACCCCCACCACCTCCCCCACACACATGTGGCAGGTGGTGATTGGAGAACAAGGGAAACAAAAAAAAAAATCCAACCAATAAGAAAAAGAGGGGTCAAAGAGGGTGAAAAAAAAAAAGGGAATCTTAAACATTTTTATTTCATATTACACAAATTTAATTTACCATAAAATCACCTATCAAAAAAATAACTGAGTGGATAAGTTTCCTTATTTGATATATATAACATGCATATAAAATAGTTTATAGTGGCTTTGTCTTATATGCAATGTTTGAAGTGCGTAGATGAGACCACTTCACGGTAAAACGGGTTCAATTATTTGAGTTTTGACTTGTGTTAATTTTTGGGTTTTTTTTTTTTTTTTGGACCAGATAATTTTTGGCTAAAATTAGATTTCAATCATTTGTTTTATAATCTCAATCAAATTTTAGTCCTCATTTGACAAGTGAATTGGATTTAAGTTAGGATCAAAATAATATAAAAAGATAAAATAAAAATACTCAGAACTTTCAAAGTTGGAGACCCTCATAATCTCCAAAATAATGTAGATCAATCATGTGCTTTTTTTTTCCTTCTTGGACCAATCACAAGTGAGTGAGGGTTGTGGAGTTGTGTTTTTTGGGAGTCTGTAGTATTGTTGAAAGATAAAATTAGCTAAATAAGTTAATAAGACAAAATATCACATCCAAATCATAATTATTTTACTTTTTCTCACAAAAAAATAAAAAGTCAAGAAAAAAAATTCAGATTTAAAAATCAAAATATTAATTTTTAATAAATAGAACTAATTTAACCAAGCTAAATTAATCAAAAAAATCAAAAAGTCAAGTTAAAAAAAAAAATCCCAAACAAACCCTTAGCTTATGTTTGGGAAGTGGGTTTTGTGGCTTTTTTGGTTAAAATAGTCACAAAAAACAAAATAGGTTTTTTAGTCCAATAAAACAAAATATCACATCTAACTCATAATCATTACATTCTTTCTTTCACAAAAAAAAAAATCAAAAAAGCCAAAAGTTTTTCACAAATCAGGCTTAGTTGTGTTTTTTGGGAGTCTGTAGTATTGTTGAAAGATAAAATTAGCTAAATAAGTTAATAAGACAAAATATCACATCCAAATCATAATTATTTTACTTTTTCTCACAAAAAAATAAAAAGTCAAGAAAAAAAATTCAGATTTAAAAATCAAAATATTAATTTTTAATAAATAGAACTAATTTAACCAAGCTAAATTAATCAAAAAAATCAAAAAGTCAAGTTAAAAAAAAAATCCCAAACAAACCCTTAGCTTATGTTTGGGAAGTGGGTTTTGTGGCTTTTTTGGTTAAAATAGTCACAAAAAAACAAAATAGGTTTTTTTGTCCAATAAAACAAAATATCACATCTAACTCATAATCATTACATTCTTTCTCTCACAAAAAAAAATCAAAAAAGTCAAAAGTTTTTCACAAATCAAGCTTTTTAACCCCAGGCTAAAATAGCCAAAAAATTTAAAAAGCCAAAAAGCGAACTCACTTCCCAAACGAAGCCTTAATGTCTGATATACTTGGCTTTGCAATGTGAAATTGTACATTGTTACATATTTCAAACGACAAATTGTCAAAATATTAATTTTTGTACGAATCTTCTACAAAATAATGTGACAATTTTATTTTATAAAATAAAAATTTTATTGTCTAAACATGAAATTTAAAATAATGTGACAATTTTATTTTATAAAATAAAAATTTTATTGTCTAAACATGAAATTTAGTCAATTTATTAAGATAATTTTTATTTCGTTATTTTTTTGAGGGTCCTATCTTATCTATGATCTTGTCATTGAAATAATGAGGAGGATTCCTTCCAGTTCAGAAGGGAGCTGTTTGGGCTCGTAAGACCCAATATGGGCCATGTTTTAATGATTCGAACTATTCATTTTGTTAGGTATTTCGTGTATTTCATTTACAAAAATTAGGTTGATCCGATAACTGTAACTTATTCAATTTATCCTTTTTTCACTATATAAAAAAAAAGACAATAATTGTGTTTTTAAAATAGACCATACATTTTTTTGATGATAAAAATAATAAATTGAACAAGTTGTAGTTATTGGATCAACTTAATTTTTTTTGTAGATGAAATACACAAAATACCTGATAAAATAAACGATTCAAATGATCGAAACAAAGTCCGTAATGAACTTCACGGGCCTAAACAACCCCATCCAGTCCAAATGGATGGAAGAGAATCCACCTCCTTGAAACAAATCAACAATGCTTTTGAATGCCTTATTTTTTGTATTAGATGTGCGGGGTGGTTTGACAACATAGCAAATATTTATATATTATAAATTATCATTTTTTTTTTTGTAAAAAATTAATAAGTCAAAAAATAACTCAACCCCAAACCATTCCTCAATGAATATTGTAGATTGTAGTCGACAAATTATGTAGACCGAACATTACGCTACATTTTTAATCCCATTCACTTGGTCCAATTTATTTCTTGATGGCACTGGCAACACTCCGGAGAATTTTTTTTATCAGCAATAAAAAGGAACTTTATTGATGAATCAGAAGACTATTATATCAATAAAGGAAAAAATGACGATGAGTGCAAAAAATATCATAGCGAACCACATCAATACCAACTAAGTTGACACTAAGAAAACCACCCAATCATATATCATGAGTTGGTGAACAACCAATCACAAACACCAAAACTAAAACAAAAAGTGCAACCCAAAACTAACAAACAGCAAAAAAATCAGGACAACAACAAAGAACATCAGCTGCAATCCATATTTGCCCACACAGATCAAAATTCAGAATTTTATTAAGGGGTGAGGGATCCACACAAAATTGGTGAAGGAGATTGGAGAAAGATCCACACAAAATTCAGAATAATTTATAAGGGGTGAGTGTCATGTGGACTTTTCCTACTAGTGACATATATTGTCCTTTTTGTTACATAAATTTTTTATGTTTCTAAAATTTCTGGAATAGTTTTTGTTAGAAATGATTTTTGAAAAATCTGGATAACAGAATTTTTCATCAATTTTGGTCTATTTTTTAGGTGGGACCCATGCGCCGAATTTCGCGGGTCTAAGTGGTAACACGTTTTATGCTGCGTTGTGATTCACGTAGTATATTTAGTTGTTCAAAACTATTATCGGGTGAATGAGAAATTGAAGCCAAAGTGTGCTCCATGGAAATGGAGTTTTGGTGAAAATTCCTTAAGGTTTGTATAATGGTTTGTCCCACATTGATTTGGTGGAAAGTTTTGAATAGGTTTATAAGGCTTGAAGTTGGAACTTGGGGTAGGCCCTAAGGGACACCCAAGTTTTGTAAAGAGGGAGGTTATGGGCTAGACCCATTGAATCCAAAAAATCACCATGCACCAACTAGGCGTAGGTGTGTGGAGTGAGGTT